TGCAATTCATTAAGTTAAGTGTATTATTTAAAGACATTTCAAAGCATTTTGGGAACAGTACATTTTAAAAAATCTGTCATGCAATTGAACTTAGAAAGTGGGCTAGAGCATCATCTTCGTAACTTTCTAGTACATTGTATGAGTCCAGTACTAAAAATCTTTGAAGAAAAAGAAAGCTAAACAAGTTAGGTGGTGGACTACAGGTGAGATCTTTCTCCAGTGATCACTACAAAATCATATACCATGAATTTGAAAGTAAGTGAAATGTCACTTATCTCCTCAAATATTAGGCATAGTTTTAAAAATATGCTTTCTGAGGAGGGAGTAGGCCAAAAATGTGTCATTTGTCTTCTGCATCAGCCAAAGCAATGAAATTTTGCTTGACTGTTTAATCATCCAATATATCTTGGGCAGAAACTAAGTATTGCCTTTTTGACTTTGTAAGTCTAGGTTTTTGAAGTGGCCTCTCCTGATTGATCCTAAACAGTGAATCCTAGGAACATAGAATAGTTTTTATTGCAAGGCATCTTCAGAAGTCATCTAATCTGTCTCCCCCGCCCTGGGCAAATTCGTCTTCAAGTAAATCAGGTTCTTCAGAGCCATCTCTGACCTGATCCTGAGCGTTGCCAGGCATGGGGCACCTACCAGCTCTCTGGGACACCTTTTTCTCTGTTTTATCACCTACATTGTAAGCATCTTTTTATTTATATCCAATCTAAATCACCACTCTTTTAGGTTTGAAAACATTGTTCCTTGCTCTGTTACAACAGGCCCTGCTACAAAGTCTGTCCCCATCTTTCTTGTAGGCACCCTACAAGTTCTCAAAGGCTTTAATAAGGTTTTCTCAAAGACTTCTTTTCTCCAGGCTGAACATCCACAACTGTCTCAGCCTTTCCTTACAGGAGAGATGCTCCAGTCCTCTGATGAGCAGGATGGCCTCCTCTGGTCCCTGTCCATTTATGTGCTGGGGACCCCAGAGCTGGACACAGCGCTGCAGGGGGGTGTCACCAGAGCAGAGCAGAGGGACACAATCCTCCTGCCTGCCCTGCTGCCCACGCTGCTTTGGATGCAGCTCAGGACAGGGCTGTTTTTCTGGGCTGTGAGTGCAGGCTGTCAGCCCTTGTCCAGCCTTTCACACACCAGGCCCCCGAGTCCTTCTCCAGAGGGCTGTTTCTGATCTGCTCATCTCTCAGCCCTTTTTGCTTTTGGGGTTACCCCAACCCAGGTACCCTTTGCACTTGGCCTTGGTGAGTTGTTGAGTACCTCAGCCTTTTCTTTGTACATTATTGCCAGTTTGCAAGCCTTGCTTACCAGGTTGGGTGAATGCTTTTTTCAACCTTCCTTTTCTCACTGGCACACCTGTAGAAGCCCTTGCTGTTATTCTGTGTGTCTTGGCTTTCCTCACCCCATCCTGCATAACTGGGCTGTGTCCCTAAACTCTGCCCAGGTTACCTGTATTTTTCACTGATGGTGCATTTTCTGCCTTTTTATTTTAGTTTAACCAGCAGGTCTCCACTCATCCGTGATGGCCTCTTGCCTTTCTTGTCCTGTTTCTTTCACCTGGAGATGGTTCATCCTTGTGCTTTATGGAAGGTGTCCCTAGAGATCTGCCAGCTCTGCTCTGCTCCATGAGCGCAATTTCCCAGGGCAGTTCTGGTGCCTAGAGAGCAGTTTCCCAGAGGGAAGTACTGACCAACTCCTTGAGCCCATGCAAGAGTTTTTTTCTTAAAATTCAAGATCCTAACTTTTCTGGAAAGCCATACAGTTCAGTTCTGATAATCTGATGTGTCAAAACTAATCACACAATGACAGAATCACTAGGTTGGAAGAGACCTTCAAGATCGTGGAGTCCAACCCATGCCCTAACACCTCAACTAAACCATGGAACCAAGTGCCACATCTAATCTTTTTTTAAACACATCCAGGGATGGTGACTCCACCACTTACCTGGGCAGAGCATTGCAATACTTAATCACTCTTAAAGTAAAAAAAAATTTTTCCTAATATCCAACCTATATTTCCCTTGGTGCAGCTTAAGGTTGGCATCTTCTGAAAACGAACAAAACATGCCCATGCACTCTTAGGCAACAATTATGAGTAAATTTTTGTTCTGAAAAGAAATGTAAATTTATATGGGTCTACTTTAGATGACAGATTTTTGACATTAGGTACCTAAATTTCATTAGCAGTCCAGAACCTCCGGGTAAGAAAAATAAAAGCTGAATACACCTGGACTGGTAGGATAATGGGCATGTCTTATGTACTTAGGGAATGAAAGAACAGCTTCAAACTACATGAGGAAGGGAAAAAAAAAGAACCGGTTACATGGTTGTTTTGTAGTACATTTTGGGCAGAAGCAGTATTTTTCCATGTCAAGTAAGTGGAATTCCGAGAATCATGCCATCAAAATGCCCCAAAAAAGATTTTATTGACATATTGCAAAATATTTTTAGAACTGAAGCCTACTAGAAAGATGATAAAAATGTTCCTTTTCTGATGCTATTGAGTTCATACTGACTTTGGTGGTAGTCATAATTGTAATGTTTCAGTCTGGTAAAGTGGGTCTATCTCTTTTTCCCTGAATCTAAAACTAAGAATTCATTAGTTTAAAAAGCATTTATTTGGGGTGTGTAAGAAATGTGGTGGTGTTTGCAGAAGAGATAAATCATTACCCCACTTGCAATTCTCAGTTGTTTTGCTCACGGTACTCTGTGAAATTACTTGTTTAACACAAATTTGATTTGGTGTCTGCATCATAGATTTAGCCTTTACTAGCATGGAACAGTTTGCGTTTGTGCCAGCTGAGTTAGACAATTGGGAACTTTGATTTGATACCTTCTAACATTTATAGATTCCTAAGGAATGAAAGTGATACATTCTTGGTATGACTGATTTTAGTGCACATAAAGCTATGATTCATTTACTGGAAAGATTACTATTATAGTTTGTGTTTCTGATTATAATCTCTTCAAGTTTTTGGTCTCATTAAGACATTGAATAAGCTTGATGTAGATTTGCAGACCAAGGAGATGTTAAAGAAAAACATTTAGGGAGGGTAGAAAACTGTGTAAATCAAATTATGACTACAGGAAGTTTCTAAGCAGCAGTACTTCAACAGATGTTTTACCCTCACTAGTAAGAGTAGTTAGGGAAGCACTTCTTGCTTTTTTTGGTTTTTAAAATTCCATGTCTTTCACATGAATTTTACTTCACATGCTGCTTAAACTAATGTTATTATACAGTTTCTGAGAACTTTAATTCAAGGAAAAAAAGTGGTGGTTGCTCAGGACACAGTTCTGCTTTCACTCAGTGCAACTTTCTTTTGCCTTCTGTGTTTGTTAGCCTGAAAGAGAGACAATTTCAGAAATGACATTTCAGATTTGGATTCCGCACATTTTTTTAAGGAAAATTAGATTATTATGAGAAAGTGGGATGGTTTACATTCCAGATACTTTGGAAGTGTTTTCTGAAATTTCTAAATTGCTAATCTTCCAAATCCATGTATTTTTTCATAATTTTCATACTCTTTCATATGTTTCACTTTCATACATAGTTTCCAAAAGAAATAAGATATTTATATGAATCTCCTTAGCTTCTCCAGGTGATGTTTTTAGGCAGCTTGTTCATTGTGAATAACATCTTTTTTCTTGCTTCATTTGAAGGATGGAAAATTGCATAGTTCTGACCCACTTGTAAATACAGTGATAGCTCCATTTCGTTTAAATTTGATTAAAGCAAATTTCCAAAACCTTTTGTTCAAGAGCCTAAAATCAGAATTTATATCATATATGACCCACTAATCTTCAACTCAGAGTATATTAGTGCTTGTTCAGGTATCAGTTTTTACAAGCTGATTCTGGTTAGTGCAGAGTCCTGCATTTCTAGCTGTATCATTGACATCTTGTTTCTTGTCCCCATGTGCATGCAGCGTCCTTCCTCCTGTCTGGCAGGTCAGAATATCTCTCTTGCAATTTCCGCACAGCAAGTCTTCTGCTGCCAGCTGCAGTGTTGTCTGCCAAGAGGGCTGGAAGTTTTAACTCATTATGTGTTGTTGCCTTTCTGTGAGGGAGGCAGGTCATGCTGCAGGGAAGGAGTGCTCTCCTAATGCATGGGCAGTAGATGCATTCTTGCTGCCTCTCCAGTATCCCAGGAAATAGCACATCTAGGGCCAGACTGCTCCTAGAGGAAAATAGGAAGTTCAAAGGTAGACTCACCACTCAAAGGGAGTCTGTGATAAAGTAAAACACAACAGCAGAAGACAGGCCTAGAAAGAACAGTCATCCACACAGCATGTTCTAAAACCCCATGTAAATTCATTTTAATGTAAACATATAGACATATGCCTTCCAGGCTTCTTTTTGAAGTCAAAGACCTATTCAACAGGAATATTTACAGCCCAAATCAAATTCACGTCGTAGACAATATATGCATTCCGTATGCCAGATCTTCTATATACTTCCATGCACTTCTTTCCCATTCCCATTTGTTGTCTCTTCTAACAACATTTGCTGCAGGTATAAAGACTAAATAATGAAATGAGATTTGAAATTCAGTGGTGTAACGAATATCCTGCAGTCTCATTTGTGTGTCCTCACTGTGGAGAAGTACAAGCAACTTTAGCCAATAGTATGCAAAAAAATGAAGGATTCAGTCATTATTGTCCCAGGGCAGCTGCCCTGAGCTAACAATGGCTTTTAGATACCTGCTGCTTCTGATAGTTTTATGCAGTTGCTGTAGGACTGAATATTTTTTTATCTTCTTGCCTAAAATATGAGACATGAAGATTCTCTGATTTTCAGTCCACTGGATGGCTTATCCCATAAAATATTCCAACTTAGCTAATTTGAAACACTTAGTTATAATTTTTAAGTGAGAAAACTGCTGCAATGTAGAAGCACCAAAGGATACACATTCTAAATTACAGCCCACTATTTTGTAATTTTGATGTTGAGAACAGAAACGTTTCACACAGAAAAGTCCTGAGGAACAGGCTTTTTGCTATGAAGAGGTAGGGTTCAAATACTTATATTTCATGCGCTATTACTGTTTATTTCTGCTGTAGGGCCATTTTTTGCAAGTACTGACCTTAGCACTGAACAGGAATATAAAATGGGTTCTCCTGTGGTCTTAAAAGATCAACATGCCTAAAATCGAAATGCTTTCTTTGAGTGGCGTGAGGAACAGAGAAATTTATTTGTTTGCTTATGAGGTCCTGTGTACCATTAGTCAGGGTGAGTTGACATACTCAAACTAAAATCAAAACGTAAATATTTCCAGTTTCACAAAATTAACTATGAGTTGAATATTTCTAACTCACTGATAGAAAGGAGTCTTCAGTTCACTTAAAAGCGTTGGTCTCCCTCAAATTCAGATTGTCAGTGTGATTTTTGTTTTTGTTAGGAAATCCCACAGAGCTGATAGTTTGAATGACCTTCCGTCATGCAATATGTGGGAACTGATATAAAAACTTTGTAGATGAGGGACCTCAGGACAATCAACATGTTTTCCTAGAATAGTGTTTTCCAATTTATCTCTTACGGTTTCAGCAATTCCTGATCTTGAAAGCTGCTCAAAACAATCTTCAGTGATCTGTTGACTCTTATTTTTTTGACCTTTGTCCCTGAAAACAGTTGAAATAAAGTTACAGTGTTCCCTCATGTCTGTTTTTTTACTTAATCTTTTCTTTTTGAATTTCAGACTTATCAACGAGTCCTTGAGGGACCAGCTGCTAGTTACCATCCAGAAGACTTTCACATACACCCGAACCCAGGCACAGCACCTGTTCATTATCCTCATGGAGTGCATGAAGAAGAAGGAGCTGGTATGTTGAGTTTAATGCATTGTTTTGATAAAGTCTTGAAAGGTATCATAAATCTGATCTCTGTTATCCAGATTCTAAAGTGATATCATGCTGACTTTTCTTTGCTTTACTCAGTATTTTTGCATTTAAAGGGATTAATGCAAGAGATCTGTTCCCCTTTGTAAATTCCTCTACTTTTCCTTTGACAGCATAGAACCCAGCTAGTAGGGTATGGATATTGCTATTTTTCAGTCATCCTCAGGCATATCATGAGTAAAATTCTACCTCATGCAACTACGGAAAGCAGAAGAAGACATAATTATGCATCTGTCCCTGGGATTGTATTTTAAAGATGCTGTAGAGTTGCAGAAGTGTCACAAGGGCTACTACCTTACTATGGAGATAGGTGACATGAAAGGAAAGCAGCTTCTCTCTGAGGCTCGTGTTCTGCAGTGCCAAGGCTATCCCTTGAACACATGCTTATATTCTCTTGAAGAGCACAAGATCTTTCAATAGCTTCTTGGAGAACAATGAGGCTGTTTTTACAGAAATATTTTTCTGTAGAAAAATAGAAAAAGAAAAATAGAAAAATAGAAAAAGCACATTGAAAAAGTTTGTGATTAATTTCTGGAGGCTTTTATTTGTCACAAACTGACTGGACAGACATGCTTCAATTTTATAATTTAATCATTTTTCTAAGGTTTGGGTTTGGTGCACATCACAGCTTCTGGGAGCTCTAGGTTGATGATAGTGCCCTAAAATGAATTTGCTAAAATGATTTTGCAACATTTCTGATCAGTCATTAGCAGAGTGAATTTTTTAGGGTAACAGCATTAATTATTTTGTGGCATTTCACTAGCAGGAGTAGGAGTAGGAGTAGGAGTAGGAGTAGGAGTAAGAGTAAGAGTAATAATAATAATAATAATAATAATAATAATAGCACCTACGTGTAAGCCACTGTTCTGCATATAGACATAAAAAACATACATATAGATCAAAGATAAAATAAAAGAATGAGGAAGAGATGGAGGAGAGAGGAGCACAAAAGCAGAAATGATGCAGGAAGAAGGAATGATGGCTAGAAAGAAGAGGCACGTTGAAATTATCTAGACGAGAAAAATACAGTTCTTGGTTATTCCAGACATCTAAATCCAGAGCAGGTTGTCAGGCTTTGAACAAATGCTGCTACTGAAAAATAACTGTGAAGATTTTGTCTGCAGTATTCACATTAAGATTTTTATTCCGAGCAAGGTTGTGCATTTGTTACAAGCTTCTTTGCAGATATTCAGTGTCTGTCGCCACTGACATTCTCTACCTACAATCTTGTGAAGAGCAATTAGTCAGGAGATGGCGTGCCCAAAATTAAGTATTCTGAATTTGAATTTGTAACACTACCCGAACCATATATAAAGATAATACATTAGAACAGTTGTTTCTGTCTAGGAGCTAAGATTGTACTCAGCTAATTCTAACATTGGTATGCTAGAAAGATTTTATGTCTGACGTGTGGTTGCTAGGCTAATGGTGTCCTGTAAAACTCACAACATCCTTTATGTGTGTGAAAAAAATGTGGTGCTCATGGTGCTGAAGGTAGCATATCCAGAGGAAATGGATGACCTTAGGTTGTGAGTTGGATCACTCCCAGGACTGAGTGGTGACTTCACTGTCCCTACAAAGCCAAATGCTTCATATTGCCATATCTGTCTCAGCTTTTGTCCTTCCTCAAGCCTGACCCTCTGATTTGGTTGTACTTAAGGCAAAAAACACTGCTTGGTGAACTGACCATCATTAGTCTGATCAACCCCTCAAAAAACAAAAGGAAAATGCAACAGATTGTCTCAGAGTGCTCAGCAGCAGCTAAATTGATCATGGCTATTTTCTCTCTGTTCGTGGTCAGTGTGCCTGCCTATCTGATTTTGTGGCTGCAGGATTGATACAGAACAAAGTAGACAGTGCAGGAGAGGCTTATCTTATTTCTATGTGTCACTAAATAATTGAGTGCAAACAGGATATAGGCAGGAGGATGCTCGTAAAAGTGCATCAATACAGCTGAATCACAGATGAGGAGAACGAAAATAAAATGCAAATAAAAAATGAAAGGAACAAAAATCCTTCTTGGAAATAATTGTTCCTTCTCTACCTGCTTAAAATGTATGAAAAGTCTGGCATCAGTTATATAAATCTGGTGCAAGTATTGTAGTCAGGGAAAAAGCATAATCATAGCAAAAATTACCCCTTTTCTCAGATAATGAGATTTTTCAAGTTCTGACATTTTGGATTTCACTCTTAAATCGTAGTATCTGACTTGTATGTCCAGGAAGCATCATTATGATTATTATTATTATTAAGTAATTATATAAATACTAAAAAATAATTCTTACTATGTGTAATGTTCCATTTACTTGAATAAGTTTAAATTTTTCTCTGAATAAAATCTGAAGATGAATGATAAAGTGAGGCCCTAGAAGAGGAGTGATCTAGATGTGTTAGATTTGCAAGACAGCAATTTTCACTTCTCAATTCAATGAATAATTTTTATGAAATTACAAACTTACCTGAGTTGACATTACACGCATCAGAGTTTTGCTGAGAAATGTATTTGGACCAAAGTGCTTAATGGGGGCTGTGGTATAAAAATCTATATAAAATGAAGTAGACTACATGTGTCTGTGTGTACATATAGGTGTAGATTACAAGGGTAGGATAGTATTTGATAGACTATTTATGTAGATTCTCTATTGTCACATTTACTTGGAATTCTTCTAAAAAGTTTATGCCAAGACCTATTTTTATGCTAAAGTAGGAGCATGAGGGCTCACCAAAGCTAAGTAATCGGGAAGCAGGCTAGGAGACTTCACTTTCAGGCCATCCCTGAAAAACATACTGTGTTGGATTCAAAGGAGTATTTACTTCTGTCTCAATAAACATATTAGTCTCAGTATTTTCCCTTAAAGACAATAAATCTGGTGTCTGAGTTTTCTGACAAATACAGGCTGCTCTACACTTTTGGGAGCACTTCATTTTGCAGCTTGGACTGGCATGTTACTGGAATGCTTTTTTTACAAATCATGATGTGAATTTCTCAGAAGCCAGAATGTGTTTTCCAGCAAGCTGCATGGGTCTGTCTGTGGAGCTTCATTGGGCAGCCACTGGGAAAGGCCACTTTGGCAAGCCAGAAAGGTCTGTGTCCTTGAAAACAACCACACCTGTGGCAGTGACAGATGTTTGTCATAATGCTAATTATTCCAAAATTGTGTTTTGAGAGTGAATACACCTATTCTTTATCTATTGAATAGAAAATGGGAATTATTGTGCATCAGGATAGGTCCAATATAAGCACCTTAGTAATAAAAAATGGCACATTAACTCCAGCAGTAAAGTGTTTACCACCTGCTGGTTAAGTTTGTTTTCTTACTACTACCATGGCCATTTTCTGCTTAATTTGTTTCCTTGACTGTATGAAGTTTCAGTGACTACATTAAGCGAACTGATAGTGTCATTGCCTGCTACTGCATTACAAGAAGGAATTGCAGAACAAAGAGAGTGTGATCAGTGGGAATAGGTTTGTGTGCATGCATTCATTCATGGAACACATTCCCACAAAGAGGTAAGAGATATAATTTGATTTAGTTTCCCACTAAAAGAAAAAAAAAATCCCATCTCTAGCGCATGGCAGCAAGTAATAGATATTTTCTTCTTTCCTCTCCTGTTCCTCGTTGTTCCTGTGCCACAGCGTGTGGTTGCTGTGGCAATCACGATGGCTGCTCAGGGATGGTGTAAACCTTCCTGCAGCTTTGTGCTGCTGATGTGTGCGGCAGAAGGCAGCTCCAGATGACTTCATGTGTAACTTGCAGCTCTGGTGCTGTGGTGTTGAAACAAAGGAGGTGTCATGCTACAGTAACTGAGTGCATTGAGCTGAGATCAAGACAACCTGCATCATGCTTGCTATTTATTGTGCTTTTATTTCAAACAGAGGTGGATCCCAGTTTTCCCAAAACACACAGTGCATGAGAAGGCTGCCTTGCAAGGCTAATATTCAAATCCCAATATTGCCTCATTAATGTAGGGCTTTGACTTTCCTTAATGGTTACTTACATACAGTACTGTGAAGGTGTTGAGTCATTGTTATGTCCTGGTCCTCTCAGAAAAGATTCCCTGATTTACTCTGAGCAGTGCATGGGAAAAAAAAAACCAACAAAATTCTTGGGAGGTTCAAAATCAAACTTTTACTTGCAAACTTTAGAATATTAGGGTAGAATAAGATACTTGGCAAATTTTAAAATGTAGCAGTTTTTGTTAGAAATTCAACAATATGAAAGCATAAAAATTAATTTAGAAAACGTATAAGGGGAAAAAAAATAAAGAGAAGATTAGAAAGATGGATCAGCACGTGTGGATCCAGAGATGAGACTTGATTGTTGCAATTTCTATATCTGTTGGTTGAACTGAAGATCACAGTCTGTTGGTGTGTTGGGGCTGGGGGAAGCAGTGAGACCCCAAGTGCAGTGGGTTAGTCCCAAGCTCAGGCTCAGTAGGAATGCCCAGGTACCTCTGTTGGAGCGGGGAGTTTTACGCAGATAATATAACACTGTGGGTGATGGGACACAACGTTGCAGCTGCCTCTTAATTCAGTGTGGTTGAGTCAGTTCTCAGAAAGGATGAATACCTTCAGGCTACGTGGGAAGCTGAGCCACTTGTGTCAGGAGACTGGTATGATAAAAAGCACTACCCCAAGGCTCAGGGATAGCGAGCCTCTTTCAGCCTCTTCCCTTATCGTGTTCCCCCCCAGCTGTAGTGTCCAGAGGTGAGTGTGTGCCCCCCTGCACCCGGGCGCTTACTCGGAGCATCAGCAGCATTTGCTTTTTGGTTTTTTGCTCGATTTTTTTGAGTCACCAGCATTCCAGTGGCTCACAGCCTTTTAGCAGTCCCTTTCCTGTATGGGCTACAAATAAGGCTTATTGATCTTTGATGACTTCAGATGTGTGTGACTGAAAAAGTTACTGTAGCAAACATGTCCGTGT